ACTGTCATCTTCGAAGAGTTGGCGAGCGACAACAGTCTGAATGACATCGTTGCCAAAATTGCAGGCCTAAGAACCAAGGCAGCAGCTGCGACTCTGGCCTACGCCGATCCACCGCTAAGTTGCCCCACCACTATGACACGTCGTCAGTGGCAGATGGCGTTTGATGTTTCCACCCGACAGCTCATGCATGCACAGAAAGCATGCAGGCTTTTCCTTCAGGCTGCCAAGGGAGTGAATACCCTGGACAGCCGCATTCTTTTCTCGAATTCAGATGCGAGCGCGCTGGCAGACCTCAAAATGATGAGAGAGGGTTCCGTGGCAGCAGACATGGCGGCAGCTCCCACACAGCTGGTGTCCGAAGCGTATGGCGTACTGTGGCTCAGGTGGCTGAGTCTCGGAAAAACCATGGCAGAAAGCATTAACTTTGTGAGTGATGAAGACCACAGGCTCTTGCAAATCGTCGAGGATCAGGGCAAACAGTTTGTCAACTACGGCTTTGAAGCGTTGGAGAACATTTTCACTGAGTGCAAACTGAAGGCCCCTGAAGTGAATTGCGAAGAGCTCAAAGTCTCAGGGGTTCAGCGCATTCTCATTCAGAAAGCAGGATTTGAGGCAGTTCTGATTGGCCTTGAACGGAATGTCACGGAAAACAAGAAGGAGATGATCCAGACAATTGCAAGCTTCGAAGGGGCTCAAAGTGGCTTGATTCATCAACAGCCTGGCCTACCCAGGACACTTGACATCTGCATCTTGCAGGAGATGAAACGCGTTGACGACTTGTGGACGCCGTTCAAGAGCCTCTTACTGCAGGTTCATGATGGTGACCACAGCGTCGCCACCTTGTTGACGATCTGGGGAATGACGTGGGATGCAGGAGTCGACCCGATGTCTGCTCAGATTACCGTGGCCATGCGGGCATATGCGGAAGGTCGAGGTGTGTGCACCCCGCCTCTGACGGCCTCCCGCCAGGAGTTGGAGTCTGCAATCAAGGAATTGGGGTTTTTCCGTGCAGGGACACAGAAATTGGCTAAGCACTTCCGCTTGTCTGAAATCGGCATCGACAGCGAAGAGAACATGAACATCTCGCATGCAACCTTGAAGGATCTTTCGACACAGCTTGAACGGATCATATCAGGAGACTCTTCCGCAACTCTCCCTGTGCCGATTGTGCAAGTTGTTGCTGATCGCCTCTTCGACCTTGCCGAAGATTTGGCGGATGTTCACTTGACGGTGGATCAATATGCTCATGCCAGCCTTAATTTGCTGCAGAAGTCAGAGCTAGCAATGAATGCTTACGTAGACGCAGCTTTTGACATGGACCCAAATGTTCCAGGCGCCCGATCTAGCTTAGCAAGCAGCCTGCTGATGCTCCTCGAGAAGATGTGTAAAGAGGCAGTCTTGGTCGGCCTTGGCAAAGGGTCCGCAGCAGAGCTCGCTTCAAGCATCAATCACTATGAGACTTCTCAGCAGACCCTCAAGGCTGGGCATTTTATTGCCCAGATGGAAATCGTTGAATCTGCTTGGGGTGAGTTACAAGCCAAGATAAAGGCGATTGCATCAAGTGGAGCAGCCAGCGACATCGCATTGAGCGAGATCACATCCAAGGCAGACGCCGTGAAAGCAGCGTTGCTTCCCGCTATTGACTTCTACTCGGTGATGACTGTCTTCATTGACATCCTTGTGCCTCTACCGATGACCGGCAGATGGTCCCCAGGCCCAACCATGAAAACAGCGGCGATGATCGCACGGGACATCATAAATCAGCAACAATTGCTTTTGTTTGGCTTCGAGATAAAGCTCAAGTTCCTGGATGACCAGTGTGACTCGGAGCACGCGCTGCGTGCGGTGTTGGAAGAGTTTGCCGGCACAGACTCTTGGGTCGGGTTGGCTGGCATGGCATGCTCCAGTGTCTGCGAATCGTTGGCAGCACTCTCGTCTTCCATGTTGATCCCAACCGTGGGCATGGATTGCTCTGGCAAGTCCCTCTCTGACACCAGCCTCTTCCCGGACTTCGTTCGCCTTGGGGTCGAGACGACCTCGGCCAAGAATGTCATCATTGAGTGGGCAGAGATGTTCGCTTGGCGGCACATTGCAATTGTCTCTGGGGACCCCGCAATCTATCGAAACGAGGCCACCGAGTACCAGGAAGCCTTCGGCAACGCCGGCATTGGCAACTCTTACGCTTCGTCGATTGAGACAGATTGGCAAGGTATGTTGTCGACTATGGCCGCATTGAAGGATGGCAAGCGCCGCGTCGTTATGGTGTTCGGCAGTGAGACCCTCTTCCGGATGGTGGTGTGTGCATCAGCAGAGGTCGGATCGAGGGAGGGAATGGTCTGGATCTCTGTGGGGATACGATCGCGGTCTTGGTGGATTGTGAACGACGAGGCAGTCTTGCAACATTCAGCATCTTGCACAGGTAGCAAGGTCAGTTCTCTCTTGCAGGGCGCACTCTTCATCACAGGTCTCGGCAAGTCGGCAAATCAAACCAAGCAACCTTTGGACTGTTATGATGGGTACACTTCTGACAGTTTGCTTGACCATATTCACAATTCAATTGCACAGGGCTACAACGATAGCACGGGAAATTCTACAGGTGCCATTGAACATCCTCACGTCGAGCTCATGGGAGCCGCTGCGGACGCGATCTGTGTACAAGCCAAGGCAATACAGCACATGCTCCTCGACCACGACATCTCGGAATTGCGCTCCCCGCAAGAAGCCGTGTACAACAAGGCCGTGAACTTCATCAGGGATGAGCTTCAGATTGAAGGTGTCTCGGGGCCGGTGAAGTTCTCGGGCAATGACAGACCCGGTCGGCTTGGTTTGTGGCAACTCAGTGGTTCGGAGAGAATTCCAGTTGGCACCGTGTACGAAAACGGCACTATCGAGACAGGTTTGAGTGAAGGCTTGCGGAACGACATGTGGCTTCCAGCAACACCATTCCCAATTGGGTATGTTGTAGTATCTATTGGGGTATTCATGATTTGTTGTCCAGGCCTTCTTGGAATCATTGTGGTTAGGGCAGCCAACAAGCGAAAACGAAACCGTGAGAGTGTGATGGTATGAGAGGCTGTGGAAAGCCTACACAAACTCGAGACAGGCTGTGAACAGTCTGAGGCGAGCTTATGGTGGTTCCTACAAAGGGCCTGGAGGGCCTGGAGGGCCTGGAGGGACCTGGAGGGGCCTGGAGGGGCCTGGAGGGGCCTGGAGGGGCCTGGAGGGGCTGGAGGGCCTGGAGGGGCTGGAGGGCCTGGAGGGCCTGGACGGCCTGGAGGGCCTGGACGGCCATGATTTGCTTGCAGCGATGGGTACATCTCAAGTTGTTGGCGAAGCCTTTTGCGATGCACAAAGCTTTACGTGCATCAAGGCTGTGTGAGAAAGCAACAAGATGTTAGCTTCACAATGGGGGCTCTTACGATGCACTTCGCATCAAGCTCCAGTGAGTGGCAGAGCCAATTAGTTTCCTCATATTGTGCAGTGCATGTCCTTGACAAGTCTTTTCGTTTACCGCTCTCTAGACCCTACTGTTCCTTTGAAAGGGCTTGTAGGCGAGTGAGCAAGTCTGTTCGTCTACCGCTCTATATCCTACTGTTTCTTTGAAAGTGCTTGTAGGTGAGTGAGTTGATGCCAAAGCCATAACTCACGGCGGGGCGACAATCCTTTCCGCTACCGTAAGCCTAGTGTTTGGCACAAAGTCAAACATGTGCTGCTAGAGTACAGTTGTTTTGAACCGAGCTTCGACTTGCAGGCGAGTTGTGGCTTGACAAAAGTTTTCAAGTTCGCCTTTTGTGAATGGGTTCTTCCCACATGCTTTCTACTTGTGGCAACAGCATCGTCTGCTTTTGGTGGAATCCTCGCAGCCAGTGCCCGAAATCCATCCGGATGTACTGCGTGGAATGGCAATCAATGAGGGTGGGGAGCTCCATGTAGAAATTCAGCGAGCGATGTTGCTCGGAGGAAGCTCAATCCCCAATGAGATGATGAATCCTTCGCTGCAGTGTGTGACTCGGCGCTTCGAACTGTTGGTGGCTCGGCTGGATACACCTTGCGTCCACTTGTAAAGTATTGTAAAGTCGTATTTGGCTGACTTGCTTTCTGACATGTTCTGCGCCGCAGTGTGCCGAGGGACTGCAAGCAATCAAAGCATCTGTTTGCTGAACTGCCTTGCAGCGCAGGTCCTTCAGACCTATGTAGGGAAGCCATCATGATGCAACTGGCTTCAAGCACTTGGGCAGCAGCGTCGGGCTGCTGACTTGTTCTGAAGACTCCTTGGCAGGGTAAATTCCGTAAGCTTGTGCTGGTCAGGTCAATGCTTATCCAACCTCCTGCGCTTGTAATGGGATGACTTCCCTGCAACGCCTCCGGGACACCTTTGGGCAGTTGCTGGGCCTGGACAAGCCGGGTGAAGCAGCTTGGCTGAAGCGAATGACAGCTGCTGTAATTGCTAGTGGATGGTAGAATCACCAAAAAGTATAGGACTGGTGTACCATGGGCGTAGCAACTCTATTACTTGCCAGCTCTTGATAGGTCCTCAAACAGTCCAAACCTGTTCGCTGAGAGCGTTTGGCGTGCGCTCGGAAACCTGTCCTTCGCGAGGTCGATCACCTGCATTGGGGGCAGCTGGGACAAGTGCAAGAACTGCAGAAGTTCAAGCAGAAGCACTTGGACAAGATGGAGCGAGCCGAGACTGACCAGAAGCTGGAGGTCATGGGACCTAGAGTGGGCATTCTAACGGCCTTAACGTGGCCATCCTCAGTCTTTGCACATTGGCTGAGCAAGCACTTCGCAGTCCAGGCGCTTCAAACCAAGTGCGTGGCACAACCTCAACGTGTCGTCGTCACCGAGCTTCGCCAGCTTGTCGACATTCTGCGCAGGACCTTCGCCGCGTGAGGAGCGTAGAGTCTTTGGAGGCCGCTGCGCTGCCCTCTTGTTTCATTCGTTGCCAAGTAAGTTGGCCACTGCACAGCGGAGCAGCATTCACGCCTCTGCCATTCAAGATGAGAGCCAGTAACCTTGCAAAACGAATCTGCAGGGCTTGCAGAAAGCAAGCAGCCTTCCAGCGGAGGACGCACGACACGAGGCTTCTACATCATTTGGGCAAGCTCTTGTCCCACCAGCTGCCCGGGCAGATGGACCAGGAGAAGCGGCAAGAGCTTGTGAAGCTCATGGTGTCCGCTGGCTCAGAGGACTGCTCGGCTCGGTAGTGGTAATCGTGTCTTTCTCGCGATGTGCTGTAGATGAGGGTGGGAATGTATCTGATGACTCTTGCAAAGAAAAAGAGGAAGATTGGCACTAGCTGCAGTAGAATCAGCGTCATGTTGTTGCTGTTGCTGTCACGATGATTGCAAGGACATCGGGACGAAAGGCAGGCTCCATTGTGATGAACTTTGCTCTCCAGAGACGACTCTCCGACTGAGCATGCAAGATTGTGATGTCATCCAGCAGGTGCGTGCGGAGATGCATTTCTGCGTGGGTGCGGCTACTAGCTCGCAGCCTTTGCATGGACAGCAGTTGGAGGCCATTATGGTGGAGCTACTTCACTTGGGCATCAAGTGGGACGAGCTGAAGAAGGAGGATCGTGAAAAACAAGATGCCGAAGAGTTTGTGAAGGCGGTCAGACAGCTGACCCAACGAGTTGACTACTTGCGTGAGTTGGAGAATCCAGTGAATGGTGGCCACTGCCAGACAACATGCTCCGATTTCAGGCTGTTCTTCCTGATTCTGAGAAGGGATGTCTGACGGACTTCCATGAGCTGGGTTTTGGCATCCTTTCCTTGGATGAGCAGATCAGACAGGGATAGCTGCTGGAGTTCAGATCCTGTTCAATCCTGGGTGAATCTGCGCTCCTTGCTGGCAGGTATCCAAGCTATCTAAGCAGTGCTGTCACAAGTCTTGGATTGCTTCTGCTGTTCTGGCAAGGTTATCGCAAATCGCAGCAGGATGTCAAGTTCTTTGAGAAGCTTCTGCGGCAGTGCAACCAGGCATGGGCTGATGGGCTGCCCTCGGGCAGTGTGCTCCAGTTTGCATCGCACTGCCAGGTTACAGGTGCAGTGATAGTGATGCTGGCATTAAGAGGGCGCGTTGCCCGTTTTTCTAAGCCCATCTCCGGTTGCGGCGCTGGCAGGGAACGACACAGAGGAGGATTCTTGTCCTTGCAAGGGCGCGCCGGTGTGTTGGCTGAAGACGGTTTAGAGTTGAGGGAGCTCAAGACCCCAAGGTTCAACTCTCAAGGTAGTCATGTTATTCGTGAGGACGACGTGATGTAGGAGCATTTTTCCAAGATTTATGTGTGGTTTCAGGATGCGGGGCCTCGAACTTTCTTAGGCTTGCATGGGATCGGCCGAACGGGCCGAGGCGGAAGCAGAACACCGAACTCCCAAGGGTTCGTCTGTAGGGCCACATCAGCCGAGGTGAACTGGATCCTATCACCGTGGTTTGCTCGCCCTCGTCGGCGGCTGCAGCTCATGTTACCAGGCAGAGCCCTACATCCGGAACCCTCTTTTCGTAGCTCAAAGATCCCTCCACCCCGTAAGCTGGATGTTGCGTAGAGCGAGGTAAAAAGAGCTCTGTCAGATCAGCTGTTGAGATGCCGAAACGAACCTCCCCAATCTTCAGGTTTCTTTTCTGCAAGGCCTTTGATGCATTATCTGCTATTATTGCCATCAAGCTGCTCCGCTCAGTACTTCGCCTCATGCTTATTACGACGACGACGACCTACTGCACCTACTATTACTACTACAACTACTACAACAACTACTAGTACTACTAGTACTAGTACTAGTACTAGTAGTACTACTACTACTACTACTACTACTACTACTACTACTACTACTACTACTACTACTACTACTACTACTACTACCACCATTACTACGACGACAACAACAACAACTACTGCTGCTGCTGCTACTGCTACTGCTACTCCTACTCCTACTCCTACTCCTACTCCTCCTCCTCCTCCTCCTGCTGCTCCTGCTCCTGCTGCTGCTGCTGCGACTGGTACTGCTGCTACTGCTACTGCTGATACTGCTGCTGCTGCTGCTGCTGCTGCTAGTGCTGCTAGTGCTGCAGCTGCTGCTGCAGCTGCTGCTGCAGCTGCTGCTGCTGCAGCTGCTGCTGCTGCTGCTGCTGCTACTGCTGCTGCTGCTGCAGCTGCTACTGCTGCTACTAGTGCTACTGGTGCTAGTGGTGCTACTGCTGCTACTGTTGCTACTGCTGCTACTGCTATGTCGACGTCGATGACTGCTATTACTTTGGTAAACAGTATGATTGCTGGTTCTTCTTGAACCAGGCAGATCTTGGCACGGCTGGACGCCTGCCGCTTGGATGGCTTCTTCCCCTGCCACTGCTGGACCTGTCCGCTGGCCCTGGAGGCAGTGAAAGCGGGGTCTGGAGAGTACGAGTGGTAGTTGTATATTCAGGATTGTTGCTGGCTTTTGAGTTTGTCTGTGTCGTGGTGTGGGTGGATATGGAATGGCACGGCAAGTCTTTCCCACAAAGGGCGCCGTTCCGTCACGAAATGCAAAACCCTGCAGGGCTTCTTCTGGCGCATCCGGCACCAACACGGAGCTGCGCAGGTTCTGGTTGTGGCCCTTCCCGAAAGGTTGGAGCAGAAGAACCAGTCAGAGTTCGAACGAGAGGTGGTCAACTGCAGTGAGGCTTTGCGCCAGTCAGGCAAGCGCCTGGTCGTCGTGATGGCAGATGAGGGTAGCCAGTTGTTTCATCGTTTGGCACATCTCCGCAAGACCGACTTGGAGCTCGAAGCGAAGGCGCTTGAATACGAAGAGCTGCAGAGATGTTGTCCCTTTCTGGACGAGGCCTCCCTCATTCGTGGTGAGCCACTGAGCGGAAAACCCCGAGAGATCCTGGGAGTTCAGAACCGAATCGCCCTCTGGTCGGGCCTTTCTGAGCTCGAGTTCTGTCGTCTGTGCCGGAACATCTGCCGCGAAGGCCAAGCTCCTCAGCTTCTCATTGACTTCGGGTGGACGGACCTGGACGGCAAGCAGAGCTGGGCATGGTATTGCTCCCGATGCTCCTCTTCGGGGTTGCAGGGCCGAGCTTGGTGTACCCTTTCTGCTTACGGGCTCCGAGGCAGCACAACATCCTCAAGTTCGAGCTCGTTTTGAAGTTGGTGCGGAAGTGGAGCTTCTGCGTGGCCTCAAGGGTGTGGCCAGGCAGGCAGCATCTGTCCGCTCCGCTTGAGCACATGCAGAGCTTGCTGCAACAGGTCCAGGGCCACGAAAAAATCCCGGAGCCGCAAATTCTGGGTGCTCTTCGCAGCGATCTGCAGTTTGCTCGGCTGCCTTCGTCGTTTAAGGCAGGTTCCAAGGAGCTCATCGAACCTTGTCTGCACAGTGTACTGCTGAGTTTCTCCAAACCGGAACCGTTTGGGGTCCTCTCCTCAGAAAAAAAGAGGAACGTGCATGACAGGAGCTCGTCAGGGTTACCTTAAAGACCATCCTTTCATTCTAAGCTTCGTTAAGCTCTTTTACCCGGTTGTGTTGTTCGTTAAGCCTTAGAGGAGCCGTCTGAAGAATGTCGTCAGAACAAAAGTACACAACACGCTGAGGATAAATGTCTTGAACAAGTTTTGTAATGGAGCTTACAGTCGATGTTCCATTGTCGGGTTCTGATGTTGCATTTAGCCCTGGCGATGGGGTTGGACTCCGACACTATGTCGGGTTCCGGTATTGTATCGGGCCCCGACATTGTGTCGCCTTGAAGATCCATGCTTAAGTTGTGTCCCGCTTGAAAATCTGATAGGAACATGAGGCTGGAGCAAGTATGGGCTTCACATACAGTGTGTTGAACGCGTGCTTTTTGAGACATCGCGGCTTTGGGCCGTGCGGATCCTCCCATACGGTTTGGGGTCTTCACCGGCACTACCGATTTGGGCTCTAAAACGCTACATGCCCCCATGTCTCGGAACCTGAAAATATCCAGCGATTGCTGACACCCAGGACAGGTTCAGAATTAAGACATGTCCATCATTAGCACTATGTCTCTTCGTTCTGGGGCAGGTTTCGTCGACATACAGAGACAGTAGCAGTCACACAGTCGCTGTAATGTATGAGTACCAAGGAGCACCCGTACACGTACACCGAAAGATCGCTCGAGGAGATGGTGTGGATTCTTGAGCACTTGGTTGCTTGGAGGACGCAAGTCTCTTGTGTGGCCCCCGTGATCATGCCTCTCGGAGACACAGGATCGGCTGTCCGGCAACCGAACAGATTAATGGAAACCCGAAACGCTAGTTGTGTCTTGTGATCTGTCCTTTTCCGCGTCTTCTCGTAGCTGCAGCTCTGGGCAGGGACTGGCAAAACCTACCTTCTCACCAAGACCTTTGAGCTCTATGGCCGCTGTAATGCCGAAACCCTGGACATTCGCGTGCTTTCCCTCAGCCAGGCGATAAACCCCTATCGGCTCATGGAGTGGGTGCGAGAGCTTCTCAAGTCGGCAGCTCCATCGACCCTGACCGTGGTCATCCTGGATGAGGTCAATGCGACGGACGCAGTGGAGTTTTGCAAGCGGCGGTGCACCGTGTCTTCGAGGGCCCCAAAGGCCATCTGCGCATGTTCTTTCTCAGGTTATATCAGTCCCAGACATGTTTCCTTCAGCTTCAGCCCTAGCCCCCAAGCCCTGGGCCACGGTCATTGTCGCTGACGCTACCCCTCTATGCTTTGCTACAAGGGCACGGCCGATATGATTGAGTCTGGATTTCGATTTCAATTCTGTATTAAAATCGATTTTAATACCTGCTTCCAGGTTTTCTTGATTCGGTTAGCAAATCAATTGAAATCGATTTTAATACCTTCTTCAGTTTTGGTTTGGAGATGACTTAAAATCGATTTTAATGCCCTGGTCCAGACTTTCGCGCTTCACAAACACTTGAAATCGATTTTAATTCATTTTGCTCTCTAGACCACTCCTGAGAGTATTGAAATCGATTTTAATTGCTTCCCATTATGAAATCACGTAAAATCGATTTTAATTCATCTTGCTCTCCAGACCACTCCAGAGTGTATTGAAATCGATTTTAATTGCTTCCCATTGTGAAATCACTTAAAATCGATTTTAGTTCATCTTGCTCTCCGGACCCTTCCAAAAGTATTAAAATCGATCTTAATTGCTTCTGGGGAGGGAGGTGAGGGGGGGGAGGGAGGGGGTTTGGGGTCCTCGTTCCTAACCCTTTCGCCTGCCTCGTAGGACTGTTGCCAGCGGGGGCAGGCCTTGCCTGTCCCTGCTACCGTTTCGTTCGTGTGTCTTCCCCAATATTGAGGTTGGGCACCCTGTGTTCCCGAGTAGGTTCCGGGTTTGTGAAGGCTTCATCAAAGCCTAAAAGACCGTGCGTCACATTCTGCAAAACCTGCATTTGGCTTTGGCAGTTTTGGGGCGCCCTAAACTCCCCAAGACTGAGCCCAAGCACCCGAAGTTGTTGTTCCGCCCCGCCCCGAAGCCCCCCAGAATCCCTGAACGCCCCCCCTGAAGCCATGCAAGTTAGCATTCCAGACACGCTGAGCCCCAGCCCAACCCCCCCCCCAACAGCCCCAGCCCCCCAGCCCCACCCCACCAGCCCCAGTGCCAGCTCGCAGCCCCAGCCAGCCCCCCGCCGTAAGCCCCCGAAGCCTCCGGAACCGGCCCCCCCAGCGAAAAGTATTAAAATCGATTTTAATACCCCAAGACCGGGACGCTGTCAAAATCAATTAAAATCGATTTTAATGCCCTGCCAGGCCCGCCTGGGACATCTTGCTAGGTATTAAAATCGATTTTAATTGATATCCTTGGCTGACACGGACCCGCCCGGAGGGGGGTATTAAAATCGATTTTAATTGAAAATTGTAATCGAAATCCAGTGTCATCCCGGCCGATATCCATGTCTCAAAGCTGTTCTCAGAGTCGAGCTGCCCCCATGTGCTTCGTCCCAGGGGCTCGAAAGGGATTCTTAAGCCAAACACTCGGGGCCTAGGCTCACCTTAAACCCTCCAACCCTCCTTCATCACTTTTGCAGCTGCTTTCAAGCCCTCTCAAAGAATCACCCCTAAACTTGCACGTCTTGTGGCAAACCAGGCCTGCTGCAGCCTCTGCCACCAGATGTCCTCTTTGTTGCGACGGGAAATCCGGCAACGAGTGGTGGTGCCCGCTACCCACAGAATTTTGGGGGAGTAGGGGTCACCCTGATTCGAGTCCTCTCATAAGTCTATTTGGAGCGTTGGGTTTTTTTGGTTAGGAGCCTAGCTATTGCTTAGGAGCTACTCGTAGAGCCTTTCGAGGCTTCATTGGTTCGTAGTTTGGAGACTTCAGCATGTGCAAACTCACAGCAAGCATCACTGTTGCGACAGATCATGCTTAAACTGCACCTGCCGAGGTTGTGATGTTTTTGATCTACCACCTTCGCTGGAAAAGTTGGCACGTCCTCTTCGGCGCTTGAGCAGCGAGAGAACTGAGGTACCTGGCAGGGGACATGCTTTCCGCTGCCGCACCCATTCCCCAAACTGTACTTGAATAGTGAGGGATAGTGAAGGGGCTTATGCTACTACATGCATGGAGCCAGTTCGTACCTCCTTTGGGCTCCAAAGCCCTGCTGGATGCATCTACGACGCATGACAGTGGATGCGCACAACCTGCAAGGCTTTTCTTCGTGCACCTCCTCCGCTGCGAACTTCTGTGGCAAGCTACTTGCGTGCCAGGCCGGCGCTTGGAGGTTTCTGCAGTGAAATTGCGGGTCGGCTCTTCTGCACAGACCTGTGTTTCTGGTGTTGTGTTTGCGCCTTGGAGCTCGCCTGGCAGGAGTTGGCAAGGGACAAGAGCCAGGTGTCAACATCGCGATGCGATCCGATGTACGAAGCTCCTCCAGCGCTTGCAGAGCTTGGGGGGATTCTCCGAAGAAGGAACTGCCTCTTGGACCTCGAGTGGAAGCCAGCGGGTCGCTCAAAGTTCTTGGGTACTCAACTCCAACAACTTGGGACGGCCTTGAGTCTAAACCCCTATAAGCCCTATAAGCCCTAACCCTAAACCCTAGTGTCAGCCGTCATGTCGGAGTGCACAGTGAAAGAGCCTGGCGCCTCTGCATTCGGCATTCGGCACAGATGTCAGTGCTCAGGAGTGCCGTGATGCCACGCTCCGCTGCCGATGTGCTGGCACTGTATGTCTGCTATGGGCTGCAGGATTGCATCGACCAAAGTGGGGGCTGCTTTAAAGCAACCCAAGTCAAACGTTGCATGCATACCTCACGGTGAAGGATGAAGCAAGTGGAATCCTCCAGAGATAGGCATACTCACCACGAGAGCTATGATGTGACTACCTGACTGTACGTAAGTGCCCTGAAACAGGTACCCCGAGAGGCCTTCTTTTGGCAGCTGCCGATTTGGGATGATGGTTCTCCTCGAGTTGCTGTGCAAAGAACAAAGCATCAGGTCTGGGATCAGGTACAGAAGCCACCCTGGGTTGTCAAGACAGACCAGCTGCAAGACAACCTACTGCTTCTGACGTTCTGGTTTTATTGTTTCCAGATGCCATGCCTACTTATTTGGTGGTTCAGAACCTTGTCTGCACCCTGTCTTGCACATCTCGTCATGGACTCAGATGGCTTCCTGGCGGCGGTACTATGAACTACTACGCCCTAGCCCGTATACCTTAGAAGCGCAGCGAGCTGTCTGTCAAAGTCTACATCTCCACCCTACTTAAAGCCGGAGGTCCGACTCTGCTCTCTACATGCTTCAAGTCTTTACCGATCGAGCACTCTCGAAGAATCCTTGTGCCCAGGCCTTGTGGACGGTTGGCCAGAATGTGACGCCAGCCAACAGGAATCAGAGGCTGCAGGATTGGGTTTTGGGCGTGGACGTGGAAGATGCAGAGGTACTGGAGATGTTGCACGAAATTGCCCGCACCTCCGGATCAAGTAGAGTCCTTTCCAACCTTTAGCTGCTGTAGCAGCTGTTTGTTCTTTGATGGAAACAAAGTCACCCTTTGCCGCAGCCACCGATCACGAAAAGAACTGGATGGGAGCCCTGTTCCTGTAGGTGGCATTGGTGACACGAGTGGATTCGGTGTGCGAAGAGCCATGTTTGCAAAGCCTACCATCAAGTTTGGCTTGATGCAAGCACGTCTATTGAGCATGGCGTAGCGGCGTAGCAGCTCTTGGCATAAAAGTAGCATCACAAGCATGTCGATGCATCCCTCCTCTCGTAGCCACACAGAAGACCACGGGCATGTCCCTCGCAGCACACGTGACTTCTAGGTCCCAGCCGTTGCAAAAGCCAAGATGGCGGCAGCCGGCCCACCATGCATTCGTGCAGTGTTGGCTGGAGCTGGTGCGCAAATGATGGGCGAGGCACCTGTGGTCAATGCCGTGTTGCAGCTGACGAAGAAACAGCCTTCCGAGGTAAGGCTTCTCTACTTGGGCACGGCGACATATGACATAGCCTCATTTAGGCAGAAGCAGACAGGGGGGTTTGCAGATCGCGGTGTGGTCGTCAACACCTTAGATGTGGCTTGCCGCACACCAGCGCCATCTGCAGTCGACGAAGCCATGAACAGTGCAGATATCATCCTCGTGTCAGGCGGGAACACTTTGTTTGCGGTGGACCGCTGGCACAAGGCTGCGATGGTGGAGCCACTCCGGCGGGCCATGGCCCGTGGGGCGGTGCTCTGTGGCGGCTCGGCCGGAGCCGGTTGCTGGTTTGACGCCTTGCACTCGGACAGCATGGATCCCGATTGGTATCGGGACATCATGCTGGCGGGAAAGGGGGCCGCAGCAGCGAAGGCTCCAGGTGAGGCTTCGGCGGCTGGCGAGAGGCGGGAGTGGGAGTATATTCGTGTTACTGGCCTCGGCTTTTTGCCCGGACTCCTCTGTCCACATCACGACCGCGTTCAGAGTAACGGTGTTCTCCGTTCCACCGATTTTGCCGAGATGTTGCGACGCCATCCGGGAGAGACAGGCTTAGCCATCGACCATTTTGCCGCCCTCGTGCTGTGTGATGCGGAATACCAAGTTCTCATGCTACCAGACAAGCCAGGCTCTGTAATGCCAGACGGTACCAATCAACCTGGCCAGGGCATTCCGGGTGTTTGGATTAAGTCCGTGACTGCGGATGGGGTGATCAAGGAGGAGGCGCTCCCCAAGCAAGGCCCAACGGCGGCATTACTCCATCCAGCGCGAGCAATTGTGGAAGATGTTCGAGTGGAGAAGGCGCGCAAGGAAAATCCCAGCAATGACCTTTAGGAGATCGTATGCGGAAGAGAACGCTGAGCGAGTTCTCTGAGCAGGAGACGGCGTCTTGAGTTTTCTGCTGGGCCAGACGCTTTATCTTCTAGGAACCGAGGACCAGGTTGATTGCAAATTCAATTGAGAAAAGCATTGGAAGTGCATCTGACTGTCTACCAAGCTTCTTTCGCATCTTCCGACTGTGCTGTCTTCTCTTTCAGTCTCTCGCTGGCTCTCTCTCTCTCTCTCTCTCTCTCTCTCTCTCTCTTTCTCTTTCTCTCTCTCTCTCTCTTTTTCTGGCATGCGCGTTGAGCTTTGAACTGCAGAGTCTGTATGTTCTGGCTGTGCGGCTCTGGCCCGGTTGAGATGGCCGGAAATCAGAACCCCTATCAGTTGGCCCTGAACAGCGAGGAACGAGAAAGCATTTGTTGATGCCAGACGCATTCATGTTGAGAGCTATAAGAGGTGCACCGCAAACTCGCTAAAGCCCCACCTTCGCCTGAGATTTTTAAGTTTGCACTTGCCAGGTCGCGACCCCCCCTCAGTGCTTGACAAGCTGCGCAGGTTTGGCATGTGGAGCTTGCACTTGCTACGTCGCACGATGGCGTATGGCGCGTAAACACTTTTTGTGCGGATGCGTCGCGGCATTTTTTGCCAAGGTGAGCCTGAACCAACTTCCTGCTCAATGGCGTTTCATTGCTCAAGCTGGCTGAAATAGAGATAAGTAAGGTGAAGGATCGGAGTTTCGGAGCAAAGCGATTTCGACTAGCCATGTTTGAGTACGCTGGCACCCCAGGATCCAGTTTCCCTGGTGGTGGCACTAAACATGGACCGATTGACCGAGGCCCCAGCGGCCTTTTGCATCGTGGTGCTGGACTGCTGGGATACGGTGGCGTCCCTACGAAAGTGCTCTCTAATTGTTGCACACGGCACTTGTCTGTCGACAATAAATGATTGGGAGCGCTGCCCTCCAAGGTTCTGGAGGCGTTCTGGTTCCCCCCTGCGTACAAGAAGGCTTCTCTCGCACGGGTAGAAAATGGCGGAAGCCAGAGAGAACGTTGCAAATTGCAAGCTTCATATTTGCACCAGCAAGCCAGCAATGCAGCATGCCAGTTGGCAAGAACACCCACCTGCACCCATCCCGAAAGCATGTTCGGGAACTGCGATCTGATGAAACACGGTTTCGGGACCAGGGTTGTGTGCCCCCTTGCGTCGAAGAAGGAGTCTTGTTTTCTTGTGTTGTGCGAACTGGCGTGTCTCGGAGGGCTTGAAATGGCACTTGATATACGGCTTGCTTCCAACACGCGGGTGCCTCATCTCATCGGCATGACCTGAGCAGAAACTCTCTGGAGGCAATCGATCCTTCTGAGTTCACCGCGTTGGACAAGCGAGCCCTTGGGCTGCAGCTTATCCTCAAAGCCACTAAAGCTGTGCAGAGCCCCATCCTTTCCTTTCCGTGCTTTGGTGTTGCCTTTCTGAGGTCTACCAAGAGCTATGCGGACTGCCAGTGGAGGCAGGCATGAACGCTTTGCAGTGACCATGTCAAGTTTGGGAAGGTTTCTAGTGGGCAATCAGTGCGGCTTGCCAAGGAGTTGGAGACAGACATCTCCGAAGGGTCTGAGCGTGCGGAGAGCAGCACGTAATATGAGAGCGGGGTGGGGAGGAACAGCCTCCTAACCGCTGCAGGCAGCACTCGGGAGGAGGCAAGCTTGTCCTGATCGTCAGGGCGGCGTTGGCAATCACTCGTGATCGACGTGACGGGCTCGTTCAACACGAATGGCGCTGAGTCACGATACTCGTTTCCAAGTGACTGTTCGGTCGGACCGCAAAGATTCGGCAGCATTTTGGCATGCGTCCTCTGTGCAGACTTGTCAGTCTTTTGAAGGTTTGTCTTGCCAGGGTTTTGCTTTACGGCAATGTTACTCACAGTCTGTCTCTGTAGCGGGCGTTGGTGGCACGAGGGGAGTCTTCGTGTGAGTAGCCACGTTTGCAAAGCCTCCCATCAAGTTTGGGTTGGTGTAGCCCGCTTTGCTCGAACATGCAAGACGTAGCATTGGCGCAGGGGAAAGAGTTGTCACCTCGCGATTGTGGAAATTGACAGGACAGCCCATTGGCTAAACTTCATCGTGACAGGGCACACAGTTGCCAATGATTGCCCAGTATCCAAACAAGAAGCGAATCCGACTGGACACAGCAAAAAGACCAAACTTCTCAGCCGTGGCGCGGGCATGGCAGGCCCCTCGCAGAGAGCTTCCTCTCAGTTGGGAAATTTTGAATCTGGGGCATTGAAGCATACCCCGTTGCTTGAGCCCTGAAACGCCACCACCCCCTAAAACCAAATCCTGAACCCGAAAGCTAAACTCCAAGTCTGGGCTTCAGCAGTCTCAGGCCATGTTGAGGGTGCTGCCTCCCGGACTGCGGAAAGGTCTCCTGAGCGTTGGGTGCCGGTATGCAGGCGCGGTCGCCGGATAGGGCAGGGGTCAGCAGGGGCATTGGTGTTGGGCCTGTTTCGAAATGGTCACGCCGAACTCGAGATGGACCGTGCACGGCTGGCAGGTACTAGTAGCGTTGCGGTTCCCCTCGGTTCGTTATACTTCAACCCTTGGCACTCCCAAGCTCTTCACCCTCAATATGTTCGAAGTCCAAGCGTCCGAAATGCCACACGGAGCTTGAAGCCTGGTGCCCGCTGGCCGACTAGTTCTGGGGCTACAGCTTACAAGCCCCCTCCAATGGTTTTGTGGGGCTAAACCAGCCAACCTCTGTTCCAGCTTGACTTGGCAGGTGGGCTTGGCACATCAGTGGCCTCTGCGAGGCCTGACCGGAACTTAAGACCTGGTTTCTAGATGTTCAAAGATGCTTGTAAACGTTGATAGATGCTCACACACATACCTTTTTGGGGTTTCGCCCGTTTCACGCACTTGGACTTGGCAAGTTCGCAACATCATCGAAACCAAGTACCGTCGGCTTTGTACAACCTGGGTTGCTGACAGTCAGCAGAAGGCATCCTTGGGTCTTCGTCTTTCGATGCATATCACGTTGCAGATGTACAGTGAGCGTGCACATGTCCTTCTGCTGTATGTGCGTGCGCACGCACGTGGCGCAGCACTAAACCCGAAGCCCTAAACCCTAAACACGCCAAGCTCTAAACGACAAATTTTTCAAAGCCATTTTACAAGCTGTCCAAGAGCTGGTTGAAAGAAGCTGGGGATCGTGGAGGCCTCGCCGTGCTGCGCTTGAAGAGGTCGAGTCGAGCGCACTCTCGTTCCGCCCGCGGTCTGCACAGACACGCAGCTCGGCATGGCCCAAAGTCACGTAGATTCACGCGTGTATCTTCACACCGGCTTGGCAGTTGAGGCGCCTCCGAATCGTGAGCGCAAGAAAACCACCAGCTCCAGCCATCCCTGACAGTTCATCTTGAATCAGACTAACACATCCCATACCATCCAATCTCAAGACGCGCGGGACCTTTGTTTCGTCCCTTCGGCTCGCTCCGCACTTCGCGGTAGACGTGGCCACCAGGAGGAGCCATCCAGGCTGAGGACAGGTGAAGATGCAAGGAAATAATGGGGCCGCCTGTCCATTCAGGTTGCTTTATGCCGTTGAGTAGTGTTAGGAATTCATATGAACAGCATGACTGCGTCACGGCACGCGAAAGAAGTACTGAGCTGAAGCGCAGATGGATGGTGCCATGAGCGGGCACTTCACGTTACGATTTACGCGGTTTCCAGTGGGGAAGTAGCGGAAGTAGCTCTTGCCTTCGTGTGGCTTGGGCAGCGCAGGCTGAAGCTGCTGGATGAAGGGACATGCCAAGGCACGGGGCTCTAGGAAGCCAGATTCGTGATGATGCTTCAAGCAGACAGAGTGCATGACTCAACGGCATGGTGTTCGTTGTTGGTGGCTTTTCACAGCTTCGCTGCCCGGAGGGTGGCCGCCGCTGTATTTTCACCATTCTTGGCGAGTTCGGGATCACTCCTTTTCCTGTACTTGTTGGGTTTGGCGTGCGCCTGTCAGGCCTCTGACCCTGAACATCCACATGAGATCCTGGTGATGGTTCAAGCTGTGCACAAAAGGCCTGGAGAAACCCCTTGCGAAGCCAGAGCATTCCTAGACTTGTCTCTGAGCGCAGGCAGCTTGGCAATGGTGCTTAGGTGGACTTCAATAGTTGTTCCATAAGCAGCAGCCGTGTCACCGGGACTTCCGAGAAACTTTCAGCTGTTGCCGCTGGGCGAGGGCCAGGAGATTGTAGTATGAAAACGCCAACCAGCATGTCGCTTTGATTGTCCGGCAATCATTCCTTCCTGTCCTTCTCACACCCCGAAGCCCTGTGTACGGTGTTGAAGCAAAGCCTGACCACAGGAAGTCATCTCCAAGCTTCCAAAAAGACGGTGGCGATGATGCCGAAGACTGTGGTGAGGAGGGGAGGGGTAGAGCTTGTGCATCTCTGGTGGTAGGAACTCCGCCAAGACCTGGTAGCGAAGCTGTGTAAGGGTGCCAAAATGTGCCAAACCAAGAAACAGGCTATAGAGGCAGCATTGATTGTGTTATCGGTGCAGTCAGCCTGCGCATGGGGCGATGCAACAAATCCCTCACATCTTTCACATGCAGCACTGCCGAGAATGGATGTGGGTTAAGCTGAAATCAGGGTCTCATAGAGCTTTTGTGCCAAGGCCTGCGGCACCAGAAGCGTGCTGTTTCAAAAGGACCAGTCTGCCTTGGAGCCACGTGCGTTCTGCTCAGTCTGTCGGATTCACAAGTCCCAGAAGCCCCTAGGCCTAAGCCCTTCGTTCGGGATGCCGCACAGATTGTTTTTATTCTGTGGAGCGGGAATGCATGGATTTCCTCGCCGAGGGTCAGGATAAAGCTGCGCCGAATATCACCGAATCTCCAACCCTCCAGATGGATGGAGACGCATCTGCAAGCGAGGACCCCGCGGCAGGCTTCGCCGGGAGACGTCCAGGGCTTGAGGCTGCAGTTTGTTGATGAGTTTTTGGGCTTCTGGGGTTTCGGGGCTTCGAAGG